AGCTCTATGCATGATTAAGAGTAGTATGAGACCAATAAGGCCAATGGCTCCCACAATTGAATAAAAAAGCAGGTTCATATGAATGCTAGTTTTCAGCCTTTCTTTAACAGTGAAGTCTCCTGCGTCTTCATAGCCCTGGATAGTAGGAACTACAGCCCTGTTTGAAGAATAAAAACAAGCCTTGTTTAGAAATATCAACACCAACGCAAATGTTCAGACTTCAGAAGAAACACTAGTGCATCCAGCCATTCAATAAAATTTGCAACTGAAGATCCAAGCAAACCATAACTATGATTGTACAAGAGAACTAAGTTCACACTGAGCTGCCCTACTAGAAAATGAGTAAGCTACAACGATACATTCAGCATAAGATTAGATACCCTCAAAATCTAGCAGTTAATATTGGTTGTATTATATGAACAGGGAGAGAATTTTTCCAGCATTTTTTCCTTCTACAGACCATATAATGTATAACCGATGTTTTCCCAAGTACCAACCTAGTTTGGATAAAGCCAAAAGAGCTGCTTTGATGCCCAAATGATGGAGCAGCATAGAAGGCAGAGATTGGACATTTTGAAAATAGTACTAAAATCGTGGTTATAACTGGAAATGGATGTGCCAAGCCATCAAATAGATGTTTTTTCTTTGTTTTTTTTTATGACACTAAGAATCAGGGAAATTCAACCATCGGGAGAAACTTATGCAAGACATGTTCATAGCATACCATGTTAGGATAAATGTGCTCCAATAGGACCAGCTCCAAAAGAATCCAATGCCGCCCTTCGCACTGCCAGTTAATGTCTGCAATAGAAATGATCGAAGGGTTTGAACCAAAGGAGTATAAAAAGGGAATTTTCCAGCCAGTAGATAATAAAATTTGTCATTTCATTACCGCTAATAAATTTATCGATATGATTTAATGGATACATGTATTGTTTTTTGAAAGGGAAGGGAGGTTGGCTTTGAAAGATTAAAAAGAACATCACAATTGACTTGTGATCAAATCGGTATTACTAAAACACCGACACAAGATAAATGGCAAGGACATAACATTAAGGTAGGCCAAGTTAGCTGCTAGGGTTTCTCAGTAGCCAAACAATTCTGAATTGACAGAATACTGGGTTAACCCCGTAACTATAACAAACAAAAGAAGATGTTTCGAAGAGGTGGCATCAGGACTATAGACTATAGAGGGTTGAACCGCAATCAGTTATTCAGTTATGAAGACTTGAATAGTGTAGAAACAGAGTTCTCTCAACGTAAATTGCAGTCAGGCAGATTATATGCAATACTCCTAGTCCCAGGGTAACAATCAATTTGCCTCAGGGACAAGGCTTCCACTGCATTTGTAAGAGGCTAAGAGCTATGCAAACGAACTGGTGGCCACTTAAATGGACAGCAGGGGTGAAGCCAGTCTCCCAGTCATTCGTAGCAATACCATCAATTCAAAGCGTGCTCCAGCCGTAACACGAAGTTTGTGATTCAATTCGTACATACACTCAAAAATTGCAACGCAACTAGAACCCAAAACGAGCTCCACCCGGTGGATCTAACAGCACCGACAGCCAAACCGGCGGAGCCCGGGGCCGACGATGGCCGGAACCCGGGCGGTGGATGAAGAAGTGGGGGAGGGACGCGGCAAGGGATCTGACCTGCCAGATGTCGGCGGGGACGAGGATGATGATGGAGAGGGAGCAGAACCATGCGTATCCGACGGTGACGACAACGTAGCGCGGCACGGCGGGGCCGGCGAAGTAGCGGAGCGTGACGACGACCATGCCCAGCGTCAGGGGCAGCGATATCAGGTAGAACACCCACATCTCGCCGCCCCGACGCTCTCCGCTAATCCGCTTGGACGCCGCGGCGGCCGGAGGGAAAGGAAGAGTCGGTGGAGCCGGGCCGGCTGGGAACCGGAAGCTTCTCCGTGTCGCAGGCGCGCGGGCGGGGAGGTGGGGCCCGGGAGATCGCGGGGCTCTTTTGTCTCCGGGGAAGTGGAGAAGCGCGCACGGCTGGGGGAAGGAGGAGGAAGGTGGAGGTGGGCCGAACACGGATCTCGTTCGGCGGAGTTTGGAAATGTCGGTCCGAGGGGAGTACTGACACGCTCCAAGGTTGCAGCATGTTCGTTTGGGCTGTGGCCTCTAGTAAATGATCGTAAATTTTTTTAACTGAAATAGTATTTTTCTCTCACATAAATCAGCTAGCAGTACTTCTTTACGAATCAGCAACGAAACGAATCAGCCAACCGAATAGGCTTTGTTTGTTCGTGGATTTGAAAATCATCCTATGAATCACATTCTATTTTATATTTCAAAAAAAATGAAATGACTAGAAAGTTATTTAAATCCATTCCAAATTTGTGGTGTGGCTAACCATAAAATATGTTTCTTAGAAAAAAATAAAAATAGTTAATTGGCAATGCAAAGAATCACACGTTAGCTCAAAGAGCTCTCTAGCTGTACGCGTGCTTCCAGATCTCTCTCTGCAAAGAACAACGTCCACCTCTCTCCTTCCTCATCCCTACAGTCTACACACAAGAAACCCCTCATTTTCACACATTGCCATTATAATTTAATATCAGCCTCTATCCTAAATTATAGGTTGTTTTGCCTTTTTTAAAATAATTTTATCTAGTTTTTACTATGCATCTAGATATACGATATATCTAGATACACAGTAAAAGTTATATATATATTATCCAGCTACAATATTTGATAGCTACCCACCCCGGTGTGTTAAATACCCGCCTGGACCACGGGTACTCAAAATGGAAAATAGTCTCAAGAGCTGACAACTTTGCTTTACTAGGCTCACAAGGACGCCCACACGTTTCTATGTGATGCTCTCTTATTTTGTTTCGTAGGTAGCGGTCCCCTTGTATGCACCATCCGTCTGCTCAAAGCCGTCTGAACCATTGCTTGGAATAGAACAGTCTGACATAGCAACTACATATGTACTATGATGCCAGATCAAGAGCAAACGGCTGGCCGTCCGATCCCACAACCCCAACACGTGTCAAGCATCTATCATAGGGGTAGTCACCACACCCGGGTTGCTAGCTACCACCCGTTGTAGGAAATCCACACTCATATATATATATATATATATATATATATATATATATATATATATATATATATATATATATATATATATATATATATATATATATATATATATATATATATATAACGATCTATAAATTAAACGGAGGGAGTAAATATAAACTAAAGCATAATTGATAATACAAAACGTGAAAAAAAAAGAACATGAAATTATCTCTAGGCATTCAGAACAATCCAACTATTCAAGGGTGGAGCCTGCACATTTTTATGCTATCACCATAACAGCAATGATGTTTTTGTGCTTTTCTTTGCAAAATAGTGTTTATAAATGAAGATTCGTCATGGTTTAATGAAGGTGGTAAGTGGTATCAATAACTTTTGAACCTGGATCTACCCCTACAACTATTATCTTTCAAAATATCATAGGTTCAACAATATTTGCTAACCATTGTTGCGGTAAAAATAGAAATCATTATCTCCCAAGTCTTAGCAAGCATTTGTATTAGGAGTCGCCGCCCTGGAAACGTCACCACCACCACAGTCTCCATCTAGGCCCCTCTCCTTCCTCTTTGCTAAGTGAGGGGAGGTGGCAAGAAGGGGAGGGGACAAATATCTCTTTTACACCAAATTTCTAATCTAGTTTGCTTAAAGTTTACTCAAAATAAATCTACTCATGAAATCAAATGATTTTCAGTTCAAAACTTGTTAGTTGTGATGACCACAAGATTACCGTTGTTGGCGTCGATTTCATCAGTAGGAGGGCAATTTGTGGTCTACAAGAGAAGGGGTGCTCCTGGGCACCCCCATACAGGCAGTAAATCCAGCTATCGTGGATTCGTAACCACGACTAGTGATTAGTGGTCGATGTGTGGGACTTAGATGGTTAACACTCAAGACACAAAGAAGATTTATCTTGGTTCGAGCATGAAGCCCTACGTCTAGCAAAGAATTCTTCTCGTGAGAATGCTAGGGCGAGTTCCTACACTACAAGAAAGCCCCTCTCTACCTACGCTTTATTTGTAGGTTAGATACTTTCATTTCATCTCTACTGAAGTATAGACACGCTTTACTAAAGTGTGTCTGGAGCGTCTCCTTTACAATCGAGAGAGGAAGTAAGAGAGCGTATCTCGAGTTCTGATCTAGGGTTTTGGAAATGAGTTTGATCCCCCACTAAGGGTTCCCTTGATTGTCCTTATTCCGCCTATCCGAAGGGCAAGGGCGTGCAAAGTTTGGGGTTCTCTCAGCTTCCTTAATCTCTAAGGGAGCACTAAAGGTTCGTTGTCCACCCCTCCAAACCTCATCGCAAGTCGGTAGCCCTCTAGACAATGGCCAAGCTCCATCTCGCCGTTGTACTTGTCGACATGCCTCGGCGGTCGGAACTAGTTAGGATAGTGTCGGAGGAATGTGTGGCGCACAAACCCACAAATCCATAAATTTGTGGTGTCCAATGGCCTAAATCAAGAAGTCGAATGTGCGGCGCACGAGACCAACTTTTCTTGATGCCATGGGGACGAATTTATCTCTTTGTTTCGCGTTGAAGGATCCACTACGAGTAATTAGAACATACAAGTATACATGATCCAGCCACCAAGGTTCACAATTCTCGTTGTTACATGCCATTTTAAATGGAAAACAAATATTTCAGACAACGTGTTACAGCAAGAAAGCAGATATTGAAACTAGCTAAAAGTTGAAACCACTTCTTATAAAGCCCTTGATTGAATTGATCTTGTTACAAAGCCAGGCTGGTCAGCAGTCAGCACGATGTCAGTTTGCTGCCAACGGCGGAGTGAGATGCTTATGGTCCTTGATCAATCCCAACGGTAACCAGATCAGGACCGCAGGGGTTCTTGCAGTCAGTCTCTATGGAGCAACGTGCAAGTGCCGATCATGTGCTCCATGAATTTGCTGAAGTTCCCGGTTGGCGACGCACGCGGCTCACGGCTGTCGTCGCCGCTGCTCGTTGGCCTCGTTGGTCTCACGCGCCATCTTGTGCTCTAAACGCACCCTCCCCTGGGCGAGCTCCTGCAGTCTCTGGGCAGCGCGGGCGGGATCCTGACGCCTCCTTGCTTCGTCGACGGCCTCCGCATCTTTCGTCCTCAGCCTATCCACGATGGCCTCCAAAGCGAAGGCAGTGTGATCGCCGCCGTGCTCCAGCAACTGTCGCATATGATTCCATCTGACGTGATACATCTTGGCGAGGTATCCTCGGATCTCGGGCCTCGGGAAGAGCTCAACCAGGGAAGCCCTGGCACCGTTCAGGCGTTCGCGTTCATCCTTCACCTCCTCCGCGCGCTTCAACGTAGCATCCAGCAACGAGTAGCCGGTCTCGAACTCCCAGGCCTCCCTGAACCTCTTCACCTCTCTGACGATGGCGTCAGGTGCCGGCGCCGGCGCCGCGGCCACACGGACAGAGCCTCCCGCCTCGCCGCCTATAAGAGCGTGCCGGCTCATGCTGTCGTCCGCACGAGGTTTCTTGGCCCTGCTCGGCCTACTGCTCTTGCCGTCGTGCGCGACTGAAACGGCGCACAAGGCGGGCTTGCGTTCCTGCAACGAGCCGTCGTACTCGTACTCGTACATGCGAGGTATCTTGGCCCTGTTCGGCCTGCTGCTCTTGCCGTCGTCCGCGACTGAAACGGCGCACGCGGCGGGCTTGCGTTCCGGCCACGAGCCGTCGTGCTCGTGCTCGTACATGCGAGGTCTCCTCGCCCTGCTCGGCCTGCTGCTCCCGGCTGCGCCCGTGTCAGCGAAACAGGCGGGCGCGGGCGTCGGGCCGACGTCGACGACGCGGGGTTTCTTGGCCCGGCTCGGCCGGCTGCTCTCGGGTGCATCTGCGCCAGCGTAAGAGGGGTGCTTGCGTTCCGGCCTCGGCCGAAGCTCTTCCTGCTCCGCCTTTGCGCTCGCGCGAGATGGCGGCGGCAGGCCGTATTTCGTTGGCAGGAAGCCGGCCAAACCCCGGAGCAGGTCGTCGTGCTTCTTGCCGAGGAGTTCTTTGAACTCTTGGTAAACTCGGTGAGCGTCGAGGCTTTGTTCCAAGTCGACGCTGTACAGCTTTGCGATAAACAGATCGTAGTTCGCCGGGCCCAACGCCTTTTCTGCCCGTTTTAAGAGATGCAAACCTTGACGCACCGGGTCGACCAAGGCATAGAACCGGGCAACGAGATGAGGATGGCCCCGGAGGAGATGCACCGCTCGGGCCGAGACGCGCTCGTCGTCGATGATCTCGGGCTTGCCGAAGTCCGCGAAGAGGGCGAATAACGCATCTCTGTTACCAGGATCATACGCCAAATGGTCATGGATCTCTTGCAAGAAGTCGATGAGATCGTCCGTGATCCCCTGCGGTGGGAACGTCTCCGGCGGCTGCGCCATGGCTGCTTCCTCTGTTCTGCAGCTCTGCTCTGCCAGCGGCGCCGGAACCGGAACAAGGAGGTCGTTTCTCTACGGTGCGTGTCGTGTTGCTCCCGGTATCTATCTATCCTACCTTATATTATTATGTTATTATAGAGAAGACGAAATAAAACAAAAGAGAACGTGTCCGATTACAAGAGGTAGGTATAGGAAGTAAAATAAACAACAGACCGTGTGCATTAGAGAGTCCACCGGACTTGACATGAAAAAAAAAAAGATAACTCTCAACCGAGTGATTTTGATGCATTCTTCGACCGAATTCTGGCCCGTTGGATCTTACACGTGTCGGCATTTACTCGGGCTCCTTCGGCGCTCCTCTGCCACCGCCCCAAGGCCGCTCCTCTGTTCAGGCGGGCGCACGCTCCTTTGTCGCTCCTTTGCTGCCGCCGTCGCCTCGACACGGATGTCCCTGGCGGGTAGGCCGCCGCCGCTGCCCCGGTGCGGACGCGGGTGGAGCGTCCCCGGTGGGCGTCCCCGGTGCGGGCGCTACCGTCCTCTGCTTTCTGTCCCTTTTCTGCTGCTGGAAGACGAGATGTGCTCTCGGGTGTCTATTCTTCTTTGCTCTCTCTCCGTTCTTCTATTTATAAATTTGTATATTTGTGAACAATTTGACGATATTTGTGAATAATTTGGCATATATTTCTCTGATATCTAGAATCCATAGAAAAAAATTTGTAATTTTTTTTTAAATTTGGCTTATATTTGTCTGAGATCTTAGGTTATTCTCAAATTACACCACTCTGTCCTATATATTACAGTAATTACACCGAAGAAATCAGTGTAAATATAGTAATAGAAGAGTGTAAATATAGCTAGATGATGGTGTAAGTATATAAAAAAATTCAGTTAACAGGAAGAGCCAAATCAACTGAATGTCACCAGACAGATCCCAGCAAAATCGCCAGAGTACGTTTGCTTATTTCACAAGACGATGGAAAGAGAAGTATGAGTTCAGATAAAAAAAAGAGAAAATCTAGTTTGGCAGCCTCATGCTGGCACTTTGACTTCTATTTGGAAATATCTACTCGACGTTGACTTGGAACACGTCCTTGCGCTGCTCCTCCTTCACCTTGGGCACGACCACCTTGAGCACGCCATTTTTCATCTCCGCCTTGATCTTGTCCATCCTGTAAACCTCTGGCGCGAGCTCGATGCGACCGCTGTATCTCGGAGGCGGTACGTCCTCGTCGTCGCCGGACTCCTTCTCGCCCTCGCCCTTGATCACCAGGCTGTTCTGCTCCGCCCACACCTTGACGTGTTCCTTCCCCAGGCCCGGCATGTCCACCCTCAGGTGCAGCGCCTCCTCGTCCTCCTTCGCGTTCCAGCCACGGCGCACCGCACCGGCACGGCCTGGCGCCGCCACCGCGAAATCGTCCATCAGGCTCAACAGGCGGCCGAGGCTCTGCGGCGCACTGAATGGATCACGGAAAATATCTGGACAGGGATGAAGTCAGCACAGCCATTTCAAATATACGGAGTTCCATCATCTCATTTGAGAGAACGAAGCAAAGCAAATGAGTCTGGCATGGCACGAAGATGACGACTACCTGAGAACAGGCTGGGCACGGCGTAGTCTCGGCCGCCGCGCCGGCTCTCGTACTCGCGGACGCTGTCGTCTTCCGACTCGCCCCCCTCGTAACGTCGGAGCTGAGGGCCGGTGTTGTACCCGCGGAGGCCGCCGGCGACTGCCACCGGCCTGAGGGCGGAGCCAGCCCCGGGCGCTGATGACTCGGCAAGGAGCTTCTCCAGCGCGCGGACTAGCGGGACGGCCCTCCTGGAAGCGACAGTGGAAGCCATGACACCCCCCCTCTTGGCCTCTTCCTCCCTGGGTGGCTGGGTTGATCTGCTTTCTCCCTCGCTGATGTTCGTGGATTCTTGTGGTGCGAATGCCGTAGGAAAGTGGACGAAGGTTTATACAGCGGCGTGGCTTGGGGAAGAATTCAGAAGGTTCAGGAAGGACCTGCGGTGGCCGAACAATCCAGAAGCCACGCGAGCCGCGAGACAATGTCGATGCTGCTCCGCTCGTCAGAATGGGCCCACCTGATACTGGATAAACGGCAAAGATCAACAGACCACTATCATCATCATCAATCATCATCGAAATCCCATAAGGCCCATCAAACTTTCAGCCCATTAGAGGCCCACAACCTCTCTCCGTCCGATCCCTTGGCGGCGGTTCCTTTCCTCACCAAGACAGCAAACCCGCACCTGCCGCAAGCCCGCAACTGAATCGGGTCAGATCGGTCCATCGTGGAGGCGAGGGAGCTCACGCGGCGCGATGGACGAGGAGGAGCACGAGGTTTACGGCCAGGAGATCCCGGAGGACGGAGACATGGACGGCGCCGACGTCGATATGGCCGCCGCCGGGGACGACGCGGCGAAGGTACCACCTCTGGATCCATGTGTCTAACGCTATACCCTAGCCCTAGGTCCTTGCGGGTTGTTGAGTCCCTTGGGTTGCGTGCAGCTGCAGGAGCTCGACGAGATGAAGCGCAGGCTGAAGGAGATGGAGGAGGAGGCCGCCGCCCTCCGCGATATGCAGGCCAAGGTCGCCAAGGAGATGCAAGGTTGTCTTCCTATGTGCTCGCCCACCTTGCCTTTTCGATACTTGGTACCTTTTTGTGGTGCGTTTAGGCTTCATTAGAGCGGTTCGATATATTATATACCTGTGACGATCTGTGTGTACAAGAAGCTTTAAGACTGTTCGAGCGAGCTAAGTTCAGCGTCTGTAACTACGGCCGAATTTGTTATTTGGTTAGCTTGGTAAAATTGCGAGATTGTGACAAATCCTATGTCTGTTCACTTAATTTTTTAACCTGTTCAGCGTTTGTTTAGTATGTGATCATGCCATACATATTTTCTACACACCTTGAATTCTTGATTTAATTTGCTTACATGCTGTACATGTAACTTAGATTTTTTGTTTTCTGATCACAGAGCAGTTAGATTCGAATTTGACATAGATTTTAGATGTCCTTTCATATTCTGTTGCTGAGGCTCTTTCCTTATGCAAGACCAGGAACTCGCTAAGAAGCTTTTGTGATAAAATTTATATTTCTCATGTATGCCTACCCCTTGTTGTCATACTCGTCCTTAGGCCTCCTATATTTTCTATCCTATTTTTGGTGTTTCTGTCTTATTGGTAGTCCACTTGTATCATTCATATCTTTATTCACTGATCCCCACTATGGCAAATCGACAATCCCTCTGCTATTGCTTACTACATAGTACATACTCCAGATAATAACACTAACCATGGATTCATCATTCATGTACATTCAATGGAACTAGTTCTTTTACTAAAATGTTGAATTCATTCTTCTGAGTAGTTGCGTACTTTGTTCCGTGGGTTGATTTTATTATGTCTTGGGTATTGTTTGGTGGTTTTAAATGAAAAGTTCTTCCGTGCAGAGTATGGACATCTTGTGTATGTAGGGATTTCCTTCTGGTGATCTATATTTATGTTGATCAAATTGATACTCGCTTAAAAATACATGTCATTTTTTGGACATGACATGCTCGACCATTATTTTCTGCCATACTATGAAATTAGTAAAGTTTTTAAGACTAATCTACATTTTTTATATTCATGCTTCTGAACTAAATTTTATAAATAATGATTGTCAAAGTTTCAAATGTTTGGCCAAGTATTTGTGATCAGAGGGACTAGTACCTCTTATGTGTGCATGTATCCCATGTTTCAACATAGTGTATATCCGAAAGGAGAATTCAAATATGATGAGGCTTCCAGATTTTGTTTTATGCCTTACTTCATTTGTGTCTTCTGGTGGATATGCTGGTCCAACATAAGTACATGAATTGATTTGGTCAACGGTTTACTTTAATTTTAGTTTTCTTGTTTAGTTCAAGATGCAATGTTTCTTGACATAATCGCTCTTCTGTTTTGCAGGAGGTGACCTTAGTGCATCTACAGCTGAGGCGAAGGAGCAGGTGGATGCCCGCTCTGTCTATGTTGGAAATGTAAGAATTTAAAATCTCTCTTATCTCCCTCTCTTTATTGTGAGTATATGCATCCAATGCGTATTAGCGTGAATATGTTATGTCACTGTTAAATTTCTATATAACACATATTTTTGTTATTCAACGTGTATGAAGCACGGAGTATTAAACATGGATATATCTATTATGTAATGGCACATACATATTGCCTAGTAGCTAATGGATATCTCATTGGCACTTGCTTAGTTATGAATTATTTCTCTCAAAAAGCCAACTACCTTGCTACTTCCCTTCTGAAATTCTATGGTTGGTGCTACTGAAGAATGTTTTAGTGCTGGATGTCTTTACTGGCAGACAGGATTATCAAAGCTTGTTCCTAATCTTGATGTTGCCTCCTTGCCCCCATTCTCGATGTCGCTCCTCAGAATGCATCACGCTGCTATTATGAAATGCTTTATGTGTGTTTATCATCATCCTTTGCTATCAAAACTACTTTGATCAGTATTTATGGTGTTTCATTTTATTGTTTTCGTGCTTGAATTAAGTAATGGTGATGGTCGCAGGGCTAGTGATTTTGAGCAAGCCTTTCAAATTGACTAATGGGCACCTTTGTCATGTTTTAGAGTTAGCATAGAATGAAAAGAAAAGAAAAAAGAAAAAAAGGATAGAAGTATCTCTGAAAAAATATTAAAAAAGTGCATGGAAAAAAGAAAAGAAAAAAAAGGAAAGAGTAAAAAGGTATAAGATAGATATTATAGGTTAGATGACCTCCCTGGCGAAGCAAAAGAAGGATGGCACTTTTTGACTGGAGCCGCCAGCTGGCATGGCGGAATATGATGTGGTTCGCAGCTGCTGGTCCACTGATATCACCGGAGTGGTGCATAAGTATGACATGTAAGTGTAACAGTAGGAAACCTTAATCTTGACTCTATTCTTTGCTGTTTCTGAACTTGTGCTCTGGCTATCTTCCTACCTTTGTCTTTTTATTCTATGTTTCACCT